TCCATTTTGGAGACCAGAGACATTGCAGAACAGTGAGATCCTGGCACCTTCTTTGCTGTGGCCAGGCTCGCAAAGGCCTTTGGGCTGCACTTGAGTCCCTGAATCATTTCCCTTTGCCTCAGTCATTTGGGGACTGATTCGGTGACAGGCCATTCCCCTGTGGACCTGAGGTGAGTGTCCTCTCAGGCCCATCTGGGGAACATAAAAGCACACAATACAGTAGCCGCCGTGTCACAGCCATTCCTCCCATGGATGTTTCAAGAGGAAGAAGAGTGAGCAAAACCAGAAGAGGACAAAGCTGAAGAAGAGAATCCAAAGAGGAGGAAAGAAGTGAAGACATAAAAAGGAATCACATGGGAAAAACTGCTATTTTGGTTGCTCTCTACTCCAAAAGTGTTGAAATCACGAGGTGAGTGTGCAATGAAGGTAGTCTTCAGTGCTGGGCAGCACGAGGAAGCTTGTATGCTGGGTAATGCCACTTCTGTTGCACCAGCTCCTAGCTTTCAAGGGGAAACACAGGCTAGTGGGAAACAGGCAACACAGCCCCTCGAATACCAGGGGTTTGGAGGCAATACCTCCACACACCACAATCCCTCTTCTCTTTCATGGTAGGGGAAAGCACCCAAGGAAAGGGCATATAGGCATCAACAGTTTCTTGAAGCAGAGATTGCAGCTTCCTTCTCTCAGGCCAAGGGCTTGAGGAAGCTTGTATGCTGGGTACGGCCACTTGCAGCTTCCTTCTCTCAGGCCAAGGGCTAGCTAAGGCATTTGAAGAAGCAGCTCCATGTGGGGGCACCAAAAGCAACAACTATTCCCCCCCATCCCTGTTGGTTCAGTAGAGGGCTCCAAATAGGTTGGCATGTAGGCCAGTCTATTTACAGGAATTTTAACAATTATATTTCAAACAGAGAGAGTCCCACTTCAACAAAGCAATGTGCCACGGACTGCTCAGTTCTGTTACTGATTTTGGAAAACTTTCACTCATTTCTGGAGTTGTGAGGCACAGCATCTGTAGTCTCTTGGGGAAAACCTTACTTGGACTATTTCTTGTTCACAGGTCCTGCTGGAAAAAATTGACTTGTGCCAATTGCCTGCGTCTGTTTTGGGGCTTGACTACCAAACCAGAAGTTCCACTTGTACGGGGGGAGTAGACCCCCAACTACTGGTTAGTTTATTTGGGCATATGGGTTGATTCTGTAAAAAAAAAAAGATCTTTCTCTTTCCCTGAGGATAAAATCTGCAACCCTCTGAAAAGGATAGAGATCTTGCACCTTCTGAATCTGCTGATTTTCCAGCCTGAGGGACCATGACTTCACAATCTGAAAAGGTTTAACATCATTACTGCTAGGTGAAAGAGTGACTATTTGGCCAGATGGGCAGTCTAGAAGTGGGTGGATGGATGGAAGGACAGATGGACAGACTAGCACCTTCAAGCCTGTTTTCTGGACGTGACAATCTGCTGGATGCATGTACTTCAAAGACAAGACTGGTTGTGAGGCCTTGAAGAGAGGATCAACATGCCAGGAAGAAAAATGTCTTACAAAGTTGTGTGTAGGCTTGTGTGGGGGTGGGTAACTCAGTATGCAGAGCTGTCATTTCAGGTTGTTACCTTTCTCTGTCTAGATAGGGAGCACTTGTCAAAGTGGGAACAAATGTCTGGCTATATGATATGGAGGGTAATATATTAACAGTGGTAGCTTTGGTCTCTGTCCACTTGTTTCTGGCAGATGGGCATGTGGACAGATTCATTTCGATGGCACCCAACCAGTGAATGGGAGCAGTTGTACTGGCCTCATGCCCAGGTTCAACAAAGACAGATGAGCGAGTAAGTGGGATGCATCTTTGTGGATCCCCATGTTGTTTTATCCCATCATCCTCTGAATATGGGTCTTCTCCAGCAAGCAGGTTGAGAGAGAGGTCAATTGGCAGGCATGTCAGCCAATGTCTCAATCCCTGCCCTTCTGCTGGCCAAGGCTAGAGCAAATTTAACTGATAAAGCTGTGGCCAGTTGTATTCCAATATAAAATGTCTGAGCCTTTGTCATTTGTCGTGTACTGCTCAGACCCCGAGCAAACTAAGTAAGAAGCAGGTGATTTCTTTCTCGTAGGTTGATCAATCCTACCAAGCCTGGTAAGACAGGGCTTCCTTGCAGTCTAGCTTTTCAGAGAAAATAAATCATAACAAATATTTTATATTATAAAATATAAAATTAAAGATCAATTTTAAGGTTATTATATTTTCTTTTATGTTTTGCCTGATATGCTAACAGGGATGTTTCTAGCTTCTTCTGATAGCTGAGCTGCCCCATTCATTCTGTTTCACCATTTTTTAGCCAGTAATCCCCTTGACATTTAGTCCAATCGTGTCGGACTCCAGGGGGCAGTGCTCGTCCCCATTTCCAAGCCGTAGAGCCAGCGTTTGCCCTTAGACAGTTTCTGTGGTCACGTGGCCAGCGCGACTAGACACGGAATGCCATTACCTTCCCACCGAGGTGGTACCTATTTATCTATTTGCATTTGCATGCTTTTGAACTGCTAAATTGGCAAGAATTCCAGTAATCTCTAACCATCCTTTAAAACCAGACAGAGCAGCAATGAAAGTGACTCTTAGACATCCCTGCCTCCTATAAGATTATGAATGGACTTGCAAAGGGGGAAAATAATTCATTGTGACCGAAGCAAAAAGTCTCCCCACCCCCCTCCAAAGCAGAAGTTAATGCTACTTTTCAAACAAATCATGGAGTTTTAAATAGTGGCTTGGATTTTCCAATAGTTTCCATATGAGAAAAACCCATGAAGGAAAATGAAGGCCTTAAGTCTTGCATTTTCTGATTTGCTCCTGAACATAACTCTTGGATCCTTTAGGAGGCACATGATTCTTTTAAATAAAATAAAATAAATAAAATAAGCCCCCATATTCAATTTTCAACCCAGTATTGAATGTCTTGAATGTTTCTCTTTTCTCCCCCCTGTTCACAGACCAAAAGAGTCCAGCAATGTTCCAGGGACTTTGTGCAGCCCTCAGGAGGTCCTCCTGGGGTCTTAAAGGTCTGACCTTTGCCTTTTAGTCAGGGGTTTTCTCATGAGCTGCATCTGTTCCTCCTGCTACCACCCTGCAAGTTGCACATGGCCCCTTATGCCCTTCTGGGATCAAACCTTCATCCCATCACAGGTCTTTCCCAGGCCCCAGAGAGTTGTTGCTAATATCTGTGCCTTTCCTTTGCAGGATTTCCACTCCAACCGCCCAACCTTCACGATAGCAAATTATTTGCAGAATACCCTCAAGAGGAATGCATAGAACCACATCATCCCGCATTTCGAACTCCAACCATTTCCCAGGTCCTTCTCCTCCTCAGTTGTAGGAGCAGTAATTGGGCCAGAAATGAGAGAGCAGCTTCGTAGCTCCACAGTGTAGCCTATCCCAGCCACAGAAACATTGATAGATGGGCACAATCCACCAGTTTGGCGGTTCATGCCAGTTCATTTACCGGCCAAACAAGTGTTCAGTGCTTTCAAGCCCCGCCCCCTCCAGTGGGCACCCGCTCAGAGAAAGCACCGAGAGAAGGCAGGGCAGGGAAGCCGGGGGGTGCCCATCAGAGGAGGAGGGGTTTGGAAGGGCCAAAAAACTGTTCAGCTGGTAAACAAATTGGCACGGACCACTGAATTGACGGTTCATACCCATTTATGCACGTTTCTGTGACTGCAATAGGCGAGCGGATATGAATCTTTAGTGGATAGGTAATTTTATACTCTTGAAGTGCATGCGTACTAGAAAAATCTGAAAATGATTTTTTCTATTTTCCTGTGGGGCCTTTGCCAAGCCAGCGATAACAATGAAAGCAGCTCCCATTCAAAACCAAGCACAAGCAGTTGAAACCAACTGATACGGTTTCCCTGCTCCTACTATAGTGCTAAGATTTTTTTTTAAAAAAGAAATAATAATGTTACCTTCCTTCATATTGTGATATTCAAAGTGTGCCCTCTTGAAGCGGTTAAAATGTTCTCAAAGCACCTAGACAACTGAAAATATGCACATCCATCAAGGCCAGCCCTAGCATTAGGGCAGGGCAAGGCAGCAGCTTTGGGGTATCCAGAAATATCAGCAGATTGTTTGCTTTTTCATTTCATATTGAGGAGCCTCATGGCACACTGGCTGTACTGCAGTGCTGCAGAGTCAAGATCGCTCACAACCTAAATTCAGTCCCTATGGGCTCAATCAGCCGTCTATCCTTCCAAAGTTGGTAAATTGAGTACGTCAAGATCGCTCACGACCTAAATTCAATCCCTATGGGCTCAATCAGCCTTCTATCCTTCCAAAGTTGGTAAATTGAGTACCCTGCTTACTAGGTGTCAGCAGCAATATGTAGCCCACATAATTAAATTGTAAACCACCCAGAGAGTGCTTTAAGCACAATGAGGCGGTATATAAGCAGCATATTTTATTATATTTTACTGCTAAGGATGAAGGAAGATTTTCTGCCCTACATATCAAATAACTTGACCAGCCTTAGGCACTGTGGACATTTGACTTGAGTTGGGAGAGCCGTGCCACTTGCTGTTTCACCTCAGACAGAAAAATATTTTGGGCCACCTCTGACAGGTGTAGCTCAAGACATTCAATCTCCAAATTTTAAAAAGTCAAAATGCAGGGTGTGGGTGTTGACCTAATGATGGTGGCATGCCTGCATGCTTCAGCACAGAACTGAGAGACCCACGCATGGAACGGAATGTTTGAACTGTGGGAGTTGTGTTGCTCTTGCACACACAAACACACACACCAAGTCTTTGAGTTGTAGTGTGGTGGGGAACTGATGAAGGCTGGAAGGAATATGGATTTGTCCTCACAGAATGCAAGCTGAAGTTGTAAAGTTCTATACAACATATTCTATGTAGTATTTTATGTAAAATAAAATTCCAAATAATATATCTCTAAACAGTATCAAAAACAGACACACACACCCTATTTGTTCCTTGATCCTGCCAAAATCATAGTGCTCTTACCTTGGCTTCACATTTTTTGTGGCTTGCCACTTTGCACACTGTAAGAAAAATAACAGAGATTTTTATAATCAAGACACTGTCATCGAAGTATATGATTGTTAACTGGGCAGCATTAAAATGCATTGAAGAACAGTGGACAATTTCTTCTTCAGAAGATGGAGCACTAAATGTCCTTTAATTTTGTTGCATCATACACCCTGGTTTATGGGATGACTTCCTGGCTGGGGGCAATTAGCACGATGAAGAACTATGGGAATCACCCTGAGCTGCCTGCTGCTTTTACCAGAGTTGCTTCTACCATTATACAGGGTGAACCAGTCTCTGAAAACAGCAGGCTTGGGTGTCCTGAAAGGTCATGAAATTAAATCATGTTACTAATTAATTAATTATTGTACAGTGGTGCCTCGCTTAACGGACGCTCTGTTTAGCAACAAAATCGCTTAGCGATGTCTTTTATGGAGCATTTTTGCACTTCGTTTAGCGAAGGTCCCTATGGACGATTTTTGCTTACCGATGGGTGGGACCATGCTTTGCATAGCGATTAAATTTTGGGTCCCCTGTTTCGCTTAACGATGGTTTAGACAGCCTCATGTTTGCTGTTTTTTAAATGTTTTCCTGTTATTTATAAAGTTAAAGTTTACTGTTTAAAATGTTTGAAATCATAAAGTGCACTTAATAAACCCTTTGTTAACCAAATTTGACTTTGTTCTCACTCGTTTTTAATTTGTTGTTGTATTTTTCCCCATTGAGATGTATTGAATAGGTTTCAATGCATTTCAATTGGGGAACCGCGTTTCGCTTAGCGATGTTTCCTATGGCGATTTTCGCTTAAGGAAGGCAATTTGTTCCTATTAGAACGGATTACTTGGTTTTCAATGCATTTCAATGGGAAACCGCGTTTCGCTTAGCAATGAAATCGCTTAGCAGCGATTTTTTTGGAATGAATTAACATCGCTAAGCGAGGCACCACTGTATTTAATTACTATATTTGTGGATTAATAACAACTGTGGCTGTATTTGTATGGCAAAGGATGTGAACAGGTACTTGTGAGACTCTGGCCCACGTGGCCAGATAACTTGACTGGTGTTGGGTACTGTGGCCCCCGAACAGGTAGGGTACAATTTGTTGTTCTGCCTGAGGCAGCAAAATGCCTTGTGCTTGCTCTCTCCCCATCTGTGAAACAGGAAGCTGATAGCAAAGACTGTGACAGAAGGGCTACTTACCTTTACAGACGAGCCCCTGGGCCTGGATGGATTCCTTGCATACAACACAAGCCTTTTTCTTCTTCTTAAAGGCCTTCTCTTTGAAGCTGTGAGGCTCAGAAACCTTCCTCGGCTGAAACGACAGAAAAGGGCAGGTCTTTGGTATAGCAGGACACAAAAGAGAATGTATTCTGCACACCAACAGATAACTGTGCCCTGTGGGCACACATACCTTTGAAGACACCGAGAATGAAATGAGTGTGTAACAGTAGTGCTGCCACTGTAGGAACTGATATTACAAGGAGACAAGCACAACGCAGGAACCTATTCGTACTTACCTGGGCAGAGTTCCCACTGAATTTGGTTGGCTTTACTTCTAAATGGCCATATCTTGTACTGCATCAAGAGAATCTATTCTATAGGCTCTGGGTGAGAAAGGTTGGAATATCTTATAGTAAGAGAGACATTTTGGTAAAGATAGGAAGAGAGGGAGAAAAGGGGGAAAGACAGTACTTAAAAACAAAAATAACAAAAAAAGCCAGATGAGATACATGGTTCTCAAAAGACCTGCTCAAATGGATTTTATGCAGGTCAGAGGCATTTTTTGGAAACAAAATTCCTTTCCTAGGGGCACTCTGGGACAGAAGTTAGGAAGGCAAAATATTATTCATTTTTGAAACTCACTGGACAGTTTTTAATAAAAATACACAGATCTTTTGAAGGAGCACCTTGTGAACTAGAACAGGAAGATGTCTCATCCCAAAATTTCATAGAGGTGCCCCTCCAATCCAGTCACAAGCTGACTATGTATTTTGTGAATTGATATTGTTCTGTAAAAGAAGGCATTGAAAAAAAGCACAAAACATCCTGTCTGTCACTACCACACAATTCACAACTGATTTTGAAGATTTCTCCATCTCATAAGAGTAATTGCCAACAATATAGACAGGACTGGCAAAGATTGCCTTCTGCATATATTAGACTACGGCTCCCACCATCCCCAGTCAGTGCAGCCATTTGCTGTGGAATGAAGGCAATGTGTTCCATGGGATCTGGAAAGGCAGGGAAAGCTACCCTAGTGTAAAGAAAAATTCCCCCCCCCATAAACATCTACTATGAAACAAATTACAGGACACTGACTGGATTTTGTGTCAGCAAAATAACCAGACCATTCTATGCATTCCAGGGCACATTAGTGACCTCTACATATACTAGATAGAACATCTCCTCCATAAAAGACAATCCTAAAGGATAGCTTTTGAGTAGACAGCAAGAATGTGACTGCCAAGAGTTCCTTAGATAAACTGTCCCAGAACGACAGCGAATATCAGGTCAATGTTCACTGTTTCGTTGGAAGGAGTTATGGATATTCCCAATGAACATGTCATTCCAAACTAAATCGATCAAGTGTAAAAAGAGTTGCTCTTTTCAGGGCTAACAGAGAAAAAGGAGAAGGGAAAGGAAGAAAAATTTACCTTGAGCACAGACTGTCTATGACTAGACAAAGCTATTCCAGAAATTTCTAAAGCATTAGCAACCCTAAGATACCCAACTTTAGCGAGATTTAGTTGGTTGGTTGTCAGCCATATCCTTCCATGGGAGATTGCTGAGATCAACGCTTTGTTCAATTTTAGCACAATGAGCACACTGCTGCTGCTGAAGATGGCAGCTCCATGAAAAGTCCCATCCCTTGGTATCTGAGGCATGTGGGCAGAGAAAGACAACGAATGCTACTAAAACTCAGCTTTGTGGAGTTTTATTTACAACCTTCCATGCTGCCTGTGGCTTGAGACTGCAAAGGACCTTTCTGGGCTGGGGCGACTGTTGGTCTATCCATCAATAACCAATAATTCCTTCCCATCTCTGAATTCAAAGAGAGTCCTGCCTCTTTGCTGAGTGTTTCTTTTCTCTCTCATTGGAGGCAGTTGCATGTTTGCTGTTGATCTGTTTACAACTGCAAGTAAAGAAATTGTAGTGGTTTTTTTCCCCACTCTCTCTCCTACAAATGTCTCAGTCATTAAGACTGTAAGGGCCAGAAAGGGGTAGGATCTGAGGAACTTGTAGCTATTCTTCTCTGTGAGTCTCTGAACCTCTACTGTATAGCAAAAGGAAATTTACTAGAAATTCAAAACTCTTCAAAATACTCCACATGCAAGGAAGGGAACTCTTTGCCCCCTCTGTCACTGCTTTACATGAAAGCAATGTGTCTGAAGAGGGGACCCCAATGTATCTCCAGACGTTCTGTGTGCAAACTGGAACCCAGATTTTTCCATACTCTAGAGACTATGTGCAGAGCTTCAAAAACCACAACAGTATCACCTCTTCAGACACAAAGGCTGGAATGTTTCTGATGTTTGCATAAGGCGTCCATCACCTGATGGAGCCAGTAGAGGCTAACTGACAAAGGGTTGCGACAAAATTAATTTGCACATGAGCAGGAATTACATCTAGCAGTTGCAATTAGCCCCAGTAGATTACACAACACTTACGCCAGCAACAGGATTCTGGCTAGTGGAAAAGAAATCTCCCTAGAAAAGACCCTGAAGTTGGGAAAGAGTGAAGGCAAGAGAAGGGGACGACAGAGGACGCGATGGTTGAACAGTGTCACCGAAGCAACCAACATGAATTTGACCCAACTCCGGGAGGCAGTGGAAGACAAGAGGGCCTGGTGTGCTCTGGTCCATGGGGTCACGAAGAGTCAGACACGACTGAATGACTAAACAACAACAGCATGCTCTCCTCTTTGTCTATAGGAAACATACAAGTAGATATGAATGGTGCCATCATGAAAGAGAGCATGATTCAAGATGAACTAGGCAGCAGTAACAGATTGATTGGTCTCACATTCTTTGTTAAACACAGCCTTGCCTTTAGAAGGTAAGTTAAGGATTCTTGTAAGTTCAGCTAGCCCACAGTGCCAGTTCTGCAACTGTTGCTCCTTCTTTCGGTAGCATTCAAAGTTTTTCAATTCAGTTTTTGGTTTTGGGGGTTTTTTTTTGTGTGTGGCGGGGAGTAATTCATTGTAAATTGCCTCAAGTTCCTCTAGCAGAAAACTAGCAAGTAAATGTTGAAAATGAAATACACAAAACAACAAACAGATTGGATATCAAAGGAATTTCTCCGAGGGGGTCAGATTGCAGGCTTTGTTTTTTCAAGCATGGCTTATTTTCATGCACCTTGCCATGTGATGTGCTCAGTAAGCAGCTTTCCATCACACACATGTTCTTGTTATTTGCGTCAGGTAGTGTGATCTGAATGGCACAGTTTGCCTTTTACGTTGAGGGGTGGGTTTGTGGATGTGTAAGCCCTGAGTCAAGACAGAGAGCTGGACTAAATAGCCTTTTGGTGTTTTGTAACATATCATTCTTATAAATCTAAAAAATAAAAAACCAAGCAACCAAACAGACACAGGTAGCTACATCAGTCGGGCGGGGGGGAACTACACCCATAACCCAAAAATTCAGTTTGGAATACCTTTCTTTACGATCCATCTGAGATAAATAAGAGCAGAAATAAATGGAATGAGCCATCGGTGTTAGTTTTTTTTTAGGGTAATGGGAGAGTAATTCAGTTTAATTTTTACTTAAACTGTGCATTAAGGAGAGGCTTCAATTACTTCCAAGCTAGAATGTAAACAATACTTCATTTACATCCTTTATATTGGTTTGTATCATCTAAAGAAGGGACCAAGAAGCAATACAGATGGCTACGAAGTTTTCTCAACTCCAATCTCCACTGGCTCTCTCACCTCACTTCACTTCTCTGTCAAATATGGTAGCATGTGAGAAACAAAAATTGCAGGCAACCACTTTCCCATCTCTCTTCTCACACAATTTGCCTGTTAGAGGAGAAGAAAGAGGAGGAGGAAGTCATGTGTGCCCCAGCCGCGGACCTAGTTTTGGCACACATGGAAAATCATGGTGTGAGTGAGAAAAGTGAGGCAGAATTTGGCACTAGAGCCAGGATTGGGGTCATTGATGTCTTTATTCATGAGTGCAACCCTCATTGGAGAAATGAGATGCCCAAGAGGCACGTCTGAACTGCTTGTGGGTTCTGTCTTTGAATTCATGTCAGACACTAGTCATTCCTAGCCCTGCCTTTGCTTCTTTCATCTCCCTGTGCAGCAAATCTTCCTACAAGAGCCTTGTGATGCAGTGGTTACACTGTAGTACTGCAGTCAAGACTCTGCTCATGACTTGAGTTCAATCTCAGTAGGTTTAGGTTGACTCAGCCTTCCATCCTTCTGAGGTTGGTAAACCGAATACTCAGCTTGCTGGGAAGGTAGCCTGTATTATTAAATTGTAGATTGCCCAGAAAGTGTTTTAAGCGCTAAGGGGCAGTATATAAGTAGCACGCTTTGTTTTTACTTTGCTTTTTTACAGCTGGTCCTCCAGATCTTGCAGGCTTGATCTCATATTTTTGATATGCTGATGCTTTGCTTTTTCCCCAGAAATGTTTCCTTTCTCCTGTTTGAGAATAGGACAAATGCAAACATATACAGTATTTAGCAAATGTTGTGCTCATATCTGGGCAGGACAAATGCAAACATATATTTAGCAAATGTTGTGCTCATATCTGGGTATTAAAAGGGAGGAGGAGGTTCCCTCATTTTAAAAACTATGGATGAAGTGGGAATTAAAGTTATTTAGAGAACAATCCTCTATATGTATGTTCAGGAGAAATGAACTTCTGAGCTCAGTAAAGGTTACTCCCTCTACAGCCTTAAATAAATGTTAACCGACTACAGTCCTATTAATACTTTTCCTGGGACTAAGCTTCATTAAGCAGTGAAGGTAGTACATTGGTGCTTGGGCAGAGGGCAGAGTATTCAAATGAATTTGTGCAAAGCTGGTAGTCTTCTTTACAGAGATGGGCATGAATTTAAAAAACAAATCACTACATTCATTCAAAAAAAATCACTAATTTGTCAAAACAAATCACTTCATTCATTCAAAAAATCACTAATTTGTCAATTTGTGTTTCTATGAATCAATACCCCAATGAATCACAAATCAATGAATTTTTACTGATCCTTGTTGATTCATTTGGCTATAAAACAGCCCCCAAGGCATCTAGAAACACCAAAATCGCAGAGAAGCTTCCCATGACTATCCTCCAAGTTTCACGAAGTTT